ACCAGCTGATCCTTCCAATTAAGAGGTATGCAAGAAAAAAAAGAGGCTTTTTTTTAAGGGTTCACAGGACAAAAGAGCACAGCAGGGAAGCGGGTGGGGGGGAACATGTCTGTTTTCACCGTGGAATAGCAGGAAAAAAAAAAATAATAATAACATTTTTTAAAAAGCTGCTTCCCCCGCAACCCTACTTTGTAACAAGCAGAAGATGGTGGGTGGGTGGATGGATGGATGGATACTTCTATTGTGAAGCTAAAATTCGAAATTCTTCAGCGTCAGAATAGAAGTCCAGTTGTTTTTTTTAGCCTTTTTTTGATTGATTGTGACCTTGATGACTGAAAATCTTCACTAGCATATCGTCAAGGTATCCAGCTTCTTGTGGACTTGGTGGGATATGGTTAAGAGAAACAGTCCTGTCTCAGTTCTTTCCTTAGATGTGTCTTTGAATTGCAAGCTAGTGAAGCATCCTCTTCAAGTGAACCTACTGGAATTCCCTCCTGGCTCATACAGGAAAAGTCAAAACAGTGTTTAATCTCCAGCCTCTCTGCTCAGTTTTCTCTCTATGCTAAACTCATCCCTGTACTTCCGCTCATGGATCACCCTTTTTCTGTTATTGGAAAGTCCGAACTGACACAATAAGAAAAGGCACTTTAAAAGACAATAAGTGCAACTTTATCCTCATTATCACCTGTGGAACTGCTAACCATCATTCCTGTTTTTCCCACAGATGATAACTGCAGATACTTCCAGCAACCTTCAAATTAAATTTCATTCTATTTTTACTTGTTTTGTGCTTGAATTTTTTTCATCGAAGTATCATAAAACCCAATGAAGCTTTAACCTATGACAATAATAACACACAGTTGTACCTCACTTGAAGGCTCAGAGGCATAACAACAGCTGGATGACTTCTGTCCCCTACCTTGCCTTGGTCCTTACATAAAACATATTGACATGGCACTAAAGTGTCCCAAGTTTGTCTTCATGGTGTTTAATGAGAAAAGCTAAAGTCTCTCTAAGGCATTAAGGCAAAAGGATGAAAATATACCACACCACTGTAGAAATATCTAAAATTATCCTGTGGAAAAAACAAAAAAAGTGTTGCAACTAACTGAAAAAAATGGATAGGGGTAGATGTAAAAAAAAATTAATAAATCTTGAATCTAAAACCACTGAATGTACACAACCCTGTCAATAGTTCATTTGTCACAATAATAATTTTATAATAAAACTTTATTCATCCATCCATCATTTTTAGCCACTTTTTCCTTTTCGTGTCGTGGGTGTCACTCATGTCCATATCCTGCGATCACAGAGCTAGAGGCGGGGTACACATGGAAAGGTTGCAAGTCCATCACAGGGACACATATAAACACAACCATTCACTCTCTCACTCACACCTAGGGACAATTTAGAGTTAACAATCAGCCTAACATGCATGTTTTCGGTCCATGGGAAGAAACCAGAGTACCCAAAGAAAATCCACGCATGCACAGAGAGAACATGCAAACTCCACCCAGAAATGCCCCCGGCTGAGATTCAATATGGCGACCTGCTTGCTAAGAAGGTGCAACTCTACCAACTGAGTCATCGTGCAGCCCATAAAACTTTAAATTTGATAATCTTTTTACAAAATACCTGAGTTGTAAATTTAATAAAAAGTTGTTTTTCTGACTGTTTGAACTATTATATAAAGTGTTTTTGATGCAGAACTGTAATGAAGTGTTTTTGCAAAAAAAGGAATGTTCTTATCACTTGGGACTTAAAAGAACAGTGATGAAGTGTTTTTTGCTTATCACTCGGGAAGCCTGAGAGGAGGATTTGGCCCACCCCCTTCTCACGCTACCTTGAAGTTTCTGAGTTTCAAGTAAGCATGTTTTTACTCAGATAAGATAAGTCTTCACTCCCTCCACGCAGATGGAAAGGAGTTACCGCTCTTTGGAATGCAGCTCTGAGTTTCGAGTAAACATGTTTTGTTCACTGGGAAACGCTCTCATGTGATGTAAAGAGAGGGAGAGAATAAAAGTAGAAGAAGCACTTGGACCAGGTTAGAGTCTGCTGTGAGTCTACCGATCGGGACGTCCAGTATTGTATTGGTGTATGCTCTGCCTAGGCTGTCCGGCTCTCCAGTCTACGTGTCACGGTGAGAGATTTTCCTACATCAATACTTGTGAGATTGTACATCTGAGTGTGATTGTACTATTCCCTTGCTTTTGCTGTATCTGTGGCGGAATAATAAAGGACACAATTATTCTAGCAGAAAAGTATCTGAGTATTTTCTTTTTGTCCATTGTGCTGATCACTCTTCCGAATCCTGGTTTTATTTAAATTAATATCACAAAATAGTACCTAACATCTGATAACTTGCCACCATCAAAAATATTTCAATGCAATTTCTACCAAATTGTTGATACAAAAGATACCACTGTAATACAACAGGAGATAATGTAAATTAAAGTAAGACTATCTATTACTTTTAATGGCTATTGTTGACATAGTAATTAACAAGAGTGTTGGCTTTTTGTTTCATAAATCTGCTTTTTGCATATGCAGATTTTGCTGTAGATTTTTTTCCCTAAAAGTATTTACATATTTTTACCAGCGTTTTTGTAAATTTAAATGGACTGTACTTATATAGCGCCTTTCTATCTAATCAAGATACTCAAAGTGCTTTACACTACAATCTGTGTCCTCATTTACCCATTCATACAGCACTCTACTAGATCTCTACAAAGCTAATTGAACAAGTCATTCTAAAGAGACTAATCAGAACTTTATCACATTCATTCACCGATGGGACACACATCTGAGGCGATGTGGGGTTCAGTGTCTTGCCTATGGACACTTCAGCATGTGACTGCTGATGGATTCGAACCCCCAGCATTGGAGGACGACGACTGCTCTAACCACTCAGCCACAGCCGCCCCACATTTTGTAAAATGTGAAAGTATTAAGTATAGTAGTCCCTCGCTACTTCGCGGTTTGACTATCACGGTCGAGCTCTATCGCGGTTTGTGGACGTACAGTTCCTATACTGTATTGGACAAAAAAATTGTACAAGACACACGATTGTGGACTGTACAGTAATACTGTATCACTGTACCCATGTGGCTGTGAACAAGTTAATGACAAAAATAAAATACTTAGGACAGGCGTCGCCATTTTGTAGTTTTTCCTCAGTAAGCCTCCACTGTATTCCCACTCATAATGACCACATTTCCCAGAAGGCAACAGGGCCCCACCCAGAAGCCCAATTTCCTTCTGCTGAAAAAAAACCAGGCAAAATTTTGATCTGATCAGCGCCCAGCGAATGCAGAGAAGTCGCACTGAACCCACCAAACCAGACCAGAACAGGATCAGAACCAGACCTCTAGATCCATGATCCATCGGTGAATCTTGAGAGCTGCTACCCAGCCCACGTGGACTTCTAAGCACTGACGCATGCCGAAGATAGGCTACAAAAACAGCTACGGACCTTCATTCAACCTGTCTAAATAAAGGTTGAATGAAGGTCCGTAGCCGTTTTTGTAGCCTATCTGAACTTTTTTCATCCAGACTTTGACTTAAATCGACCACCTACGGTCCCACACTGGCCAACAGAAGGTCTGCCCTCCTCCCAAATGTGCTTTGGCGCTCAAGAGCCGGTTCTGGTCCAGTTGAAGAGCTTCAACTGGACCAGAACCGGACCTGCAGACTCAGTGGTGAACCTGGGAGCCCAGGGGACACAATTGTAAGTAAAATTTATTAGCTACATATAAGTGTGTTGTTAAAATTTGTAGGTTTAAGAGTTTAGAGGACTGATTGTGGGCTTTGTTGCAGCAGGGTAGTCTGCAGAAACAAACCGAGTCAAACAGAACCGAGAGCTGGTCCTGTTCAGCAGAGCTGGTGAGTAAAATGTTTTTTGTTTTTTTTTTTGTCTTTCAGATACACCTGGACCTATATCTGGACCTAACATTCTGTGTTCGTTTGTCTCTCCTTTCTGTCCTCTCAAACCAGCCGGTCAAAGCAGATGGCCGCTTGTCCTGAGCCTGGTTCTGCTGGAGGTTTCTTTCTTTTAAAAGGGAGTTTTTCCTTTCCACTGTTGCCACTGTGCTTGCTCAGGATGGGAGAGTGCAATGAAGCCAAGATTCAACTTGTCTGCTGGCCTCCTTAGATAGAGAACTTTACTAATTGGCTTTTATGTATGTGAATGTCCCTGTAAAGTGCCCTGAGACAACTTTGTTGTGATTTGGCGCTATATAAATAAACTGACTTGAACTGAATAAAAATTTAGTAGCTACATATACAGTACTGTATGTTTTTTTTTTTTTCCCCTTTCGGCTGCTCCCTTCTTCAGGGGTCACCACAGCGAACCAAGTCGCACGAAGACTTGGCAATTATTTTTACGCTGGATGCTCTTCCTGATGCAAGCATAGACCACCGAGCTACCACAGCCCTCTGTGTGGAGCAGAGAGCTGCTATCTAGGACACCCGGAGGAGCAGATGGTGGGGGTTAAGGGCCTTGCTCAAGGGCCCAGAGTGGGACGAATGAGGGTGGGGGCAGGTGTGGGTGCTTCACCTACCCCACCCACATTTTTGAAGTTGTCGGTACCAGGGCTTGAACCGGCGATCTTCCGATCACAGGCCCACCTTCTATAACCTCTGCGCCACCACTCCCCATTATACAGTACTGTATGTATGTTGTTAAAATGATGTAGGTTTAAGAGTTTAGAACATTGCAAGAGTGTGGGAACGGTTTCTAAAGCCTTAATATAAATATACAGTATAAATACTAAAATAAATAGTATACCTTCCCTACTTCGAGGTTTTTCAATTATCGCAGGGGAGGGGTGGTGATGCTGGAAACTAAAACCCGCGATCAACGAGAGACTACTGTATGTCCAAATGTCTGAAGTTGTGAGACAATAGTTGAAACTCAAATTTATGAAAATCATACTGCAGCTTCAATTTTGCAATTGCTGTAAAAAAAAAAACACTAAAAAAAAACTGACAAATTATGTTACCAAGGTAACTTCCAAAGCTGACAGGTCTTGTGTCATCATCCACATAAACGGACATTCCTCGGCTGGACGTGTTGTAAACCAGAACTGAACCCGTCCAATAAGAAGTTCCAGGCGCCCCCATAATGATTAAATCCTGGTAGAAAAAAGTATTTTTGTCATTACTTTTATACAATCACTGCTGCACACAGAAAAGATGAGAACGATGTCTGTGTTAATGACCTTAGTCAGAAAGTTGGAAATGCCTGCTTGACAGGATCCATAATCCTCACCAAACTTCCTCTGATGGTCTGCAGAAGAGAGACAGAAGTGCTGAGATGTAAAGGTGAGCAAATATAATAATAATAATAATAATAATAATAATAATAATAAACTTTATTTCTATAGCACCTTCCAACAACGCCTTGCATTTTTATATATAGAGAAATTTTAAATGTTTATTTTTGGTTGCTTAACTACTGCTTGTTTCACATGAGAACAAATGTGAACATCTTTTATTTATTTATTTATTTCATTAATTCATTTTTCTGAACATTTTAATCAACTCAACGCAGTACTTAACTGATACTAACAAAATGTGCATGTGGGCATGAGTGTGGAGGCTTTCTTTGCTTGTATGACAACTTAATGAATAAAAAAATCAGTTACACATACCTTTGTAGCAGGGTATTAAAGGTCGAGTTTGTGTCAGGTCACTTTCATAAAGGTAACATATCCCGTTGGGCAGCTTGTTGTTTTGGCTGTCTTTTTTTGAGTAGTAGACGTTCTTCCAACGGTGACCACATGCCTGAACACACACCAACATCATGCAACAAACAACATGTGACAAGGAATAACTGGGAAGAAACACATTCGCAGCAGAACACTCTTAAAGCCGTGATTTTCAACACTGTGTGACAAACATCATTGGCTCTGCTGCAATAAAAATACATTTTGAGAAACAGTAGGAATAGTAGAAACTTTTCACCATCCCCACAACTTTCACCAGAAAAAAATGCCTTTATGACTTTAAATTTTAATTCCCCGATAAGTAAATACTGGTTGTAATATTGGTTGATTCAGCTGTTATATAGATAATAAAGCTACAGAAAGACAGAATAGGATTATTTTGTTATTTTATTATTATTTATTAGATTATTTGCTGATCCCTGACCGAACAGTTCAAAGGTATTACTCCATATGAACATAATTTGAAACAGCACGCAGAAATAACTCCAGCAATAATGGAGTTCATAGCGAAAGACATGATGCCCCATTAATATAGTGACCAAGCCCTTGCGCACACATTTTAACCAAGTTGCTATCCCAGACTTATACAAAAAGTGCAGAAACAGAGTTGCAGCAGAGCTGAAAACTGTGGACTTTTTGCGACTGAAACAGATTGATTTATTGCTTGTGTTCATAGCAAAATACATGAGAAGAAGACATTGAAAAATAATCACATATTAAATAGCTATCACAATATTGAGGTAAAAAAAAAATGCCATTAGAATATTTTCCAAAATTGTTCAGCCCTAATTGAGATGAGTCAGCTCTTATAAGTCAGAGGCAAAGGTTCTTAACTGGGAAAAAAATTGAATGCCCCATCTGGGTCAGGGGTGAGGCTCTACATCAAGCAGAGAAGTTTAGGTGTCCAGGAGTCTTGTTTACAAGTGATGGTACTGTGGGGTGGGAGATGGATTAAGGGAATTGTTTTGATCTATCATGGTGAAGAAGAAGCTGAGCCTAAAGACAAAGCTCTTGTTTTTCTGGTCCATCTACATTTCAACCCTCACCTACGATCATAAGGTATGGATCATGATTGACAGAACAAAATCCTGAATCCAAATGGAAGAAATGGACTTAATAGGGTGGCCAGGTTTAGCCTAAAAGATAAGGTGAGGAGCTTTGTCAACAAGGAGGTTAAGTGTAGAGCTTCTGATTCCCTGCATTAAAAGTACTCAACTGAAGTGTTTCAGGCTTCTGATTAAGATGCCTCCTGGGTGATATCCTTTAGAGGTACAGCAAGTCATCCTCCTCCATCTTACCCTGTCCTCTACATCCTCTGTCCTCACTCCAATGTCCTCTCTAACTGCATCCATATTGCTCCTCTTTGTTCTTTTCCTGGCAGCTGCATTTCTAACATACTTCTTTCAATGCATCCACTGTCCCTCATCTGGATATGTCCAAACCACCTCAATCTGGTCTCTCTAACTTTATCTCCCAGTTGTTCAACCTGTGCTGTACCTCTGATGATCTCATTCCTAATCTTATCCATCCTTGTTACTCCTAAGGAGAACCTCAACATCTTAATTCCTGCCACTTCCAGTTCTGTCTCTTGGCTTTTTGTCAATGCCTCTTTCCTCCAGACTAAACAACATAGCTGGTCTCACCACTGTCTTGTAAACTTAGATAAGTTTTGGAACAATTGTTCAAGTGCTGATGTTGACTAGGTCCTGTGCAAACAGCAGGATGATCAATGTTTCTGTCCCATTAGTGTCTTGAAGTCCTTGTAATAATTTGTCATGAATAATGCAGGAGAGAACAATTAGAAAACCAATTACTGGTACCAGTGTTAATAATGAAAGTATTTATAATTTAAGCTCTAAAAATTCATCTCATAAACTGTCCTCATCTTTTCCCTTCATGATGATGAAAACACCACTGACCTAGTCAGAGCGGTATGCGTTGACACGCTTTGGAAATTATCATTATTATTAACAAATCAAAATGATTCGCTTCCACCACAGCCATCTTAGAAATGTTAACCACAAAACACACTTCAACTGGAAACTTTTGTACAAAAAAGATTAAGGATTGGAAAGTATACTCCCTCAAAACCAATCAAACAGATAAAAAAAATGTGGTTTCAGAACAATTCTGAGAATGTTGTGAAAACATCCATCCATCCATTATCTTTTACCAGCTTCTTCCTTTTCGGGTCGCGGGGGTCACTGGTGCCCATGTTCAGCAGTCACTGTGCCAGAGGTGGAGTGCACCCTGGACAGGTCTCCAGTCCATCACAGGGACACATAGAGACAAACGAGACAAACAACTGTTCACTCTCTCACTCACACCTAGAGGCAATTTAGAGTTAACAATCAGCCTAATATGCATGTTTTTTGGTCTGTGGGAAGAAACCAGAGTACCCAGAAAAACCCAGAAAAGCCTCCAGACCGGGATGTGAACCGGGGTAGCCTGCTTGCTGAGAGGCAACAGCTCTACCAACTGAGCCACCGTGCTGCCCGTGGTTGTGAAAACAAACAAGTAAATATCTGATTGGAAAGAGTCAATAGAGGAAGAATGAAAATAGTGTTTTGTTTAATGTGTTTGATGTGAGCAAAACGAGCTTCATAGAAAGGTTCAAAGTAAATAAGTAATCCCATATGTTGGTAGTAAATGTGTTTTTATAGATAAATAATAATTTTAACTGCAGACAAATTATACATCTAAAACATTGCAGATATGGTGGTTTATGTGTTTTTACAAACATCTGCTAATGTTAGAATCTAGCTGTTTTTGTTACTTTTGTTTTTTTAGCCATCCTATTTGTAAAAAAAAAATCTGTATGACTTTTTATAACTGTTTATTGTTGTTGCTGTTGTGCATTGTTGCCATCATTCTTTGTTGAAATCAGGTCTCTCTTGTAAATGAGTCCTCGAGGCTCAATGGGATTTACCTGTCTAAATAAAAGGTTGAATGAATAATGTGCTTGATCTAGTTAAAACCCGAGTTGTCTGGAAACTGTTATAGAAATTTTCATTCATTCAACCTTTATTTAGAAAGGTAAATCCTATTGAGCCTCGAGGACTCATTTACAAGAGAGACCTGATTTCAACAAAGAATGATGACAACAATGGACAACAGCGACAACAATAAACAGTTATAAAAAGTCATACAATATTACATACAATATTTTTTAACAAATAGGATGGCAAAAAAAAAAAGAAAAGTAAAAAGAAAAAAGTAACAAAAAACAGCTAGATTCTAAGGCGAATGTAGAAAACTAAAAAAAAAATACTTTGTCTGGTATTCATTTGGCAATATATTAAATATCTACAGAACATTTAAAACCGTAAAACTAAAGTTTTGTGGTGCTAATAAAAGAAATGACTAACATCCTCTTATCAACATAAAAAAAGATGAAGAAACAACTAGTCCGGGTATCCAATCACAAAACATAGAGTGTTACTTTACCAAAATGTGTCCACCCTTCTGTGTAGGTTGTCTGGACAGACTGACTCCCAGCCACTGGTGATGACTCTCAGGTTCACATGTCTTTCCACACCCAAACACTTCGTCTGCACACAAAGATGAAAGCAAGTTCTTGTCACAGTTTACACACTGTTTTTTCCTTTTCTCATCACTCTGTTCACTGTTTGACTTTTTCTTCTCTGATCTCCTGGGTTTTTCCTCTGCTGCTTCTACCAGCCTCGTTACATGCCACGTCTCTCTCTCTGATTGCTGCTGATGGTTTCCACCTGTTTCTGGGTGTATATATACTCCCTGCTTTTGCCACTTCATTGCCAGATCAACTGCTTGCTTTCAACCACAGTTATCCAGTGTACTCTTCTTGTTCACAGCTCTTTAATCTTGATCCACGCCTGTTTCCCTCGACCACGTTTTTTGCCTGTCCCTTTTGTGCCTCAGCCTTCTGACCTTGTTGACGACCTATGCCTGTTTTTGGATTTTGCCTTTGCCTCTCCCTATCGGTACTGTCTCCTCTTCTGATCCCGTGTAGGAACCCTGCTCATCCTCGACTACGTCTCTGGATTTCCCTTGGTCTCTGCAGCTCTGTGTCTCTGCTGGAGCATCCCATTACAACAAGAAAGGTTAGTGTTTCATCAGACCGTCTGTATTCAGATAACTACTCGTCATTCTGTCAAACGCTAACCTTTCCCCTCTGTATCATTTTAGATACAGTTCCTGCCCCTGGACCTGAGACACCAGAAGCTGTTTATTTACTCAGTAAACATTTTAAAAACCTTTTCTGAGTCTGTGTGTAGGATCCTCTGCCATCAGATCTGACAGTTCTATATTATTTTACCATGTATGTATTTGATCAACTCCAACTGAAGCAGACAAAGTTGTTTCATTTGCTGCATCTTTGAGCAGGAGTTCCATATTTGGTGTAAAAGACAGGTTTCTATAGGATCTGTAATGATGGTAACAAAAGGCTTAAAACATAAAAACACACAGACCAGCAGGCATTTGGTGGCAGTGGCGATGCTCAGCCAAGATGCCACAGCGATAAAGAGTCCCCGGAGACTGGATGGACGATTTGGAGGACACGTTTGCTACTGGAGCTCCAACCACCAGCCTGGGAGAAGAAGATGCAGTCAGAATGTGGTTTGCTGTCTGAATAAAGCTCAGTGTGTGAGACATCAAAGAGCTTCTCTCACTGGCTAGAATCACCTCATTAATGAGAACACACACACACAACCAGGTTTGTTTTGCTATCTTTATGGGGCCTTTGCATTGACTTCCATTCATTTTTTTTTTTTTTCATTCGTTTCTATAGCCTAACCCTGACCTTTTATCCTAAACCAAACCATTACCAGTACATACCTAAACCTAACACATCCTCAGTTCACACCTTTTGGTCCTAACCCCTAACCCACCAACGGGACTTCTTCTTAGTGGGGCCTGGGCTTTGGGCTACATAAGCAGCAGTTGGTCCTCAGTGTAGTATAAGTTGGAAAAATGGGCCTTACAAAGTAGCATAAACAAGGACACACTAGGGCTATAACAGACTACTTGAGTAATCGACGGATCGATTCCTAGGACATCTATCGAGTTTTTAAATTTCACGTAGAGTATTCGCAGTGACGTTATTGTGTCACGTGATCCGCACCGGGCTACTAGTAGAAACTATCAAATGCATTCCTCCAAGCAGATGGACTGAGCAGAGCAGGCCCAGTCTTGGCAAACAGATAGAAATGCATCAGTAGTCTGGAAATATTTCACTAAAGATGAATCTTCTGGTTCAACTACTGTAAGGAAACAGAAAATGAATCAACTTCCTGACTGTTTGGAGCTTGTTGCGAACCGGTGTTATACCATATTCTGTGACCACCGTATATTGTGCCCGTAGGGGGCGGTGTTGCATGCACTGTTGCAGGTCACAGAATATGGTGTAACACCAGGTCCAATCGACCGAACCAGAACCAGCTTCCTTCTGACCTTGTTTCACAAACAAAAAGCAAAAAATATTATTCTCTAAACCTATAAATAAACCTATAAACATATTAATCTCTAAAACTAAACCTAATGCGCTAACTACAGCTGGCGGTGGTGAGGTGTGGTCGTCCGCCCCACTGTTTTTAGTTTTGTTTCCGACGTCCTGCACATTTCTTTTACTTTTGCATCTTAATAATAATAACTAATAGTTTTGGTTTTCTTGTGACTTATTTTCAGTATGATAAATGATAAATATATGCTCCCAATGTTTTGTTGGTCTGTTTATTTATTTTTTTGTAAATAATAAATTATGTTTTTTTGCGGTTTTATTTATTATTTATTTTTTCATCTTGAGATCCTATGACATCATCAACTACTCGAGTTCTACTCGAGTTTTATTATGTTAATTTTGAGTTTAAAAATTATGTAGTCGTTCAACCCTTAGGACACACACACACACACACACACACACACACACAATTGTAATGTGTATGGACTGACTAGTTATAATTATAAGAACTTTACAAATTCTGCAGAGAACAATGGTTACCTAAAATTTTAAAACAATAATTCTAGGATTATAACCACCTAACCTATTTTAAAATTAAGTTTAAAAAAAGCCCTAATGTATTATTATTATTATTATTATTATTATTATTAGTTTATTTGACAGAGACAATGCACACAACCATAGAACAGAACAAGTCTGTGAATTATGCGTTACTCAAAGAGTATATAGCTAATTCACAACTCCAGTCCCTGGTTGGTCATTTCTACACATTAAAATACATACAATTTATCAATCAAAATACAGCAAGAATACATACATATTCATGCCTACATATTCATGTAATCAACCTTACAACTTACAGATTCATATAATAAAACTATACATTAATATACGAACAATTTAAAAATCTAGGCACAATAAAAATACAAAACACTTTCCTCTCTACGAGTTCCAAAATAATTTTGCAACCTCCAAATTTATATTAATATACTAGAAAATCCTCCATACCTCCCCATCCTCACACATTCAGCTAACATACTAAAAATTGTAAATACAAAGTATAATGCTAACTCACTAATACATACACTCCCACACAGACTTTCTCATCCATAAAATCTGAGTATTAAAAATGATCACATCTTTGATTTTCCTTTAGACAAGATTTAGTCATGTAAACAAACTTCTTTAGTTCAGGTGTAGCTTTTACATGTGGGGCAATAAGTTCCATAATTTTGTGCTTTTATAGGAAAGAGGTCTAGTCTAAAGCAAAATAAAATGAAATGAGTAGATCATCAGATGATTAGTTAGTTCCTAAACAACTAAAATTAAAACAGATTCAAAATTAAAGGCCTTGAAGGAATGAATATTTACACCTTTAATGTCAGAGTTTTAGACTACAATCATCTTAGGCTGAGAAAAGACAGAGTTGTTTTGGTCAAACCTTGAAAACAATATAAAGCTCAATCTCATGACATCACAAGATGTTTGCTTATGAGCTGAGCATGACTCTTTGCTTCTACCACGTCACATTTTATATCAATATTTAAGTTACAGCATTTTTAAAATCTTAAGTTTAGTCAGCTTTGGTGGCCAATTTCAACTGATTTGACTCCAAAACTGAATCAGTTGTTGAAGTTCATCCAGTGATTATTTCCTAAAAGTTCACATAAAGATAGGTCCATTATTAGTTTAGTGATGTTTTGGTAGCAGACAAACGAACAAACAGATAAAACATGATCACCTCCCTTGTAGCAGGGACAATAAGCATGAAGTTTCTGTCAGAGATTCAGTGTTAGAGCAACTGAGAGCAATAACAGAAGATTCATGTGGTTAGTTCAATGAGACTGATTAACATCAGATTAACTTATACAAGCTTAGATGATTGACAGGTGGCTAGCAAATAATTTGAAAAGAAATGGACAAATTTAATTCAAAAATAACATATTTGGTAAATTAATAATGAATCAATAAATAATAATAATTCAAATCACTAGAGAATTAATAAATTAAATACTAGATTAGTTTTTAAATATGAAACAAACTGTAAATCATTGGCGGCTCATTGATGGATGACATCAGAGTTTGGATGCAGACCAGTTGTGAGCTCCGTGACGATGCAGCAGCACTGAATATCCAAACATCGAGGAGGCGGGGCCTCTGAACACCAGACTGTGGTCCTGATCCAGGTTGTACCCTGCAGCAGGACTCACCAGGACCTGAACCAGGATCAGAATCCATACACTGCCTCCTATTGAGTGCATGATGGGAAACAAGCTGCAGAAAACACAGAGTGAAGAAGGTCAGTCAGGAAGAACTGTGTGAACACTCATTCAGAGTTGACACCATTCATTTGGGTTTTAGTGCAAACTAACCACTTCTGTATATTTGTGCTATATTAGCCTTTCTTATGTCAAAATGATTGGCTCATTAAGACAACTGATGCTTTTAGATGGATGACTTTTGTAACTTTTATACTTAACTTTATTTACAAATAGTTATGGCCTTGAAAACCCCTTGATACTTCTTCAGTTCCTTTAGAAACATCGTTCTTTTGAAATTTGTTCCCGAGCTCTGGCTCTGTTTTTGTTCTCTTGTGCTACACTTGTAACTTTTTACTTTCTACTTTTAGATAACTTTTAGCTACTTTAGCTTTTAATTCCCCTGTAGTTATCTAGTCATCATGGAGACTGATGAAACAGTGGTCTCTTTTGATGTCACATCACTCTTTATGTGCATTCCTGTTGATGATGCAGTAGAGGTGGTCAGTTTAAGATTACAATCAGACACCACTCTGAGCAGCAGGACCACGCTTTCCACAGAACAACTGTGTCAACTCTTAAAACTGTGCCTGCAGTCAACCTACTTCACATTTGGGGGCCAATATTATAGGCAGAAACACGGGTGTGCTATGGGGTCTCCAGTTTCTCCTATTGTTGCCAACCTGTACATGCAGGAGGTAGAAAAAAGAGACTTGAAGTCCTTTTCAGGGACACCACCAAGTCATTGGTTCAGGTATGTTGATGACACCTGGGTTAAAATTAAATCTCAGGAAGTCCAACACCACATCAACTCTGTGGATAAATACATCAAGTTCACACGAGAAGATGTAAAAAATGGCAGGTTGGCTTTCTTAGACTGTGAGGTCTCAGTCTCTGACAGAGGACATTTGCAAACTGAGGTGTACCGCAAACCCACCCACACAAACCAGTATTTGCAGTTTGACTTCCATCACCCTTTGGAGCACAGAGCAGACAGTGTCCCCACTTTCTCAGGAGCCAGGCAGAAGGAGAAATCCTACACAAGACAGGCTCTAGAGCAATGTGGATATCCTAAATGGGCCTTCCTGAAAGCAGAGAAGAAACCCAAACAGGATTCCAGTCAGCCATCAGGTGAAAAGGAGGAACCCAGACCCAGACCAGTGGTCATTCCATATGTTGCGGAAGTATCAGAGAAACTGAGAAAAGATCCAGTCCCCTGGCACAAACAGAGTAATATTGTGTATGCTGTTCGGTGTCAGGAGGGCTGTGATCAGTCTTACATCAGGGAAACTAAACAGCCACTGGCCAAAAGGATGTGTCCAGCACAGAAGGGCAACAACATAATCAGGCCAGGACTCTGTGGGCTACACTCATCTCCATGCCAGTGGTCACTCGTTCAGGGATGAAGATGTTCACATCCTGGATAGAGAGGAATGATGGTTTGAGAGAGGAGTAAAGGAGGCCATCTTTGTGAAAAGAAACTGTCCATCATTAAACAGGGGTGGAGGCCTCCGTGTTCAACTGTCCCCCTCTTACAATGCTGTTATTGCTAGTATCACTCAGCCCCCTGTGAACAGTAAACAGCCATCAGTGTGCTAATGATCCATCCAGTTAGGCTGATGGTCCTTCTTGAGCATGTGAGCAGCTGGTTTTGGTTGTCAGCAGCAAAACTGGCTGATCCACTCAGAGAAGGTGCTATTTATAAGACTGAGCTGAATACATCACCTCAGACTGAGGAAGTTATCCGGATGAAAGACGAAACCTTTCTATATTTTTTTGTTGTTTTGCTTTGTTTTGTGAATGTCCAGAGGACCAGATTTAAACTTTTTTAGAGTTTTCTACCTGGATTATTGAGCATGCATCTGGATAGGAAAGCATGTAAAACATTTACAAAGCCTATTTTTATTTTACAGAAAAGAGCTGTAAGAATTATCACTAGAAAGCATTACAGTCACCCATCAAGCACCTTATTTTATCAACTGAAGTTATTGAAGTTCCATGATTTGATAGATTATAGTATTTTATCAGTTATCTATAGGGCTCAAAATAACACCTTACCATTAAATATCCAAAGAAATTTTGTTAAAAGGCAAAGTTGTTATAATCTTAAGGGGATAGAGATATTTGTCAAACCAAAATTCAGAACTAGTCTGAAGGGAAGGTCTACCTCAATCCAAGGAATTGGATTGTGGAATGGTCTAGAGAATGATGTTAAAAATGCCAAGTCAATGTGTACATTTAAGAAAAAGATCAAAGCTGAATTGTTAAATATATATATATGAAGTAGCTTAGTGTGTTTTGTATTAGAGTTAGAAAAATTAGAAAGAGTTATTCGTTTTGTTCTGTTACTTGAAGATTATTATGATTGAACTAATTGTTTGAAAAAAGGGGCAGATATAAGATTTTTTTCTTCTTTCTGCTGCCTTTCATTTTAAATCTCTTGTATTTTTTTTTATATATAGTTTATGGATTTTTTTTTTTTAATGAACAAACTTTATACCATACCATATCATACCATATCATATCCTGTAGTTAGTTTAGCTGAACTGTTGCTCCTTTTAACTATCAATTTAGAGAGCTCATGAAAGAAATCAGAAAAAGATTTCACTTTTATTGATATGTAAAAGCATAAATTGATGACACTGCACATAAACGCACAACAAAGACAACCTTTAAGCTCTAAAGAGTCTCAGGTGAACACGTCTAAATGTGTGGAGCAACACGCTTCTAGAGTCTTTCTGGGGACATAAAGCTTAAATTTTGTTTTAGCAAAGCCTCTAATACGACACAAACCTGTCGATTAGGTCTGAAATCTCAAGCGCAGCATCCCATTCAGATTAGCAACCCGCTGTGGTGTCTAAAGCCTGCTTAGAGTACAAATATGTATCTTTATCAGTGTGATCTCTGTTTTCTGAGGCCCATCCCCATTGAGGCACACCCCACAGAGGAAGAGAGCAGCGTTCAAGATCCTCTGAACAGTTCTGTTTCAGCAAGGTTGAGCTGTTGGACTTCATCCGCATTGTATTTTGGACAGATACGTTACAGATATTAGTTTAAAAGTGTGTAATATTAAGGCTTGGTGATAAAATAATGATAATAATTAACATTAACATGTAAAAACAAGGTGAAGTTTATGTGACACAGTAAAAAGTCTCTTGTATGCATTATTTTCTGGGAAGTTCTTGAATGAAGTTTAAAAATAAAAAATACATTTCACAGAATTATGTTCCCCCCCCCCCCCCCCCAAAAAAAAAAAAAACCCTGCCTATTCTTCTTAGCTTTTCCTGTTTTAGCGGAAATGTGAAATGCATTCACAAATGGTTAAAATCATTTTAAAAAATAGAATCTTAGAATATTGTTGCTTGAATGTATTAATTGTGTCCAAAAAAAAAAACTATTTAAAAACCTGTCTGAGAAAAGGAGGACTCTGTCAGTCCTGATCTTTAGGACTACTTATGGTGACCTTTAAGTTCAGTTAAGTTTTGCCAAGTGAATGAATAATATGAATAATTTTGAGTTTTATGGTTTATATGATCAGTTATAGGCAGCACGGTGGCGCAACTGGTAGAGCTGCTGCCTCTCAGCGAGCAGGTCCCTGGTTCAAACCCCAGTCCAGGGGCCTTTCTGGGTGGAGTTTGCATGTTCTCTCCGTGCATGCGTGGGTTTTCTCCGGGTACTCCAGTTTCCTCCCACAGTTCAAAAACATGCATGTTAGGCTGATTGGTAACTTTAAATTGTCCCTAGGTGTGAGTGAGAGAGTGAATGATTGTTTGTCTCGTTTGTCTCTATGTGGCCCTGCGATGGACTTGCGACCCGTCCAGGGTGTACCCCGCCCCTCGCACAGTGACTGCTGGACATGGGCACCAGCGACCCCCGTGACCCAAAATGGAATAAGCGGGTAAAGAAAATGGATGGATGGATGGATGGATGATCAGTTATTCACATTATTAGAACCATTTCTTTAAAACATGTATCAAACCTCCACAGCTGTTTTAATGACCTTCACGAGCACATGAACAGTTTAAATGAACTATCAGACTAAAAGAAAGAGAAAATATTTGAAAAGGACCTGAATTCAGTGATGGTTCTGTCTCATCGGCATTGGGAGGAACCGCTCAACCTGTCCTGGTCCAACAGCAGCTATCCCGGGTCAGACTGGTCCACTCGAGGTATAAAAAGAGCCAAGTTTGTTCGGTGAGTTGATAAAGTTCGAGTCTCCCGAATCCTCTGTTCGTTAACCGCCTCGTGCGTAAACCCGCCGCGCACGAGCCTCTGAGAGTGTTTGACAGGAAGAGCAGAGATTAAATGAGAAAAATATGAAATAAAACCAGTAAGTTACTCGAGCGAGAAGAGGAGCGACCGTTTGGTTTTTAATTAAACCGAGAGCTGACCGAGCGTGCGGAGACCCACCCTCTACTACACGTGTGAGCGCGCGTGTAACGGGTTACCTATTCTGCGCCCTCCTCTGTGCGCGAGCGGTGTTTCCTCTTCGTTTATCATCAAAGGGTTTATGGAGTGTGTGTCTAAACACACACATACTAAGAAAACTGACATTTGTTATAGTTTTTGGCACAATTTATTTTTTATTATTAACTCAGCAGCTGTGGCTGAGTGGTTAGAGCAGTCGTCCTCCAATGCTAGAGTTGGGGGTTCGAATCCACCAGCAGTCACATGTCGAAGTGTCCATGGGCAAGACAATGAACCCCTCATTGCCTCTGATGTGTGTCCCATCAGTGTATGAATGTGATAAAGCTCTGATTAGTCTCTTTAGAATGATTTGTTCAATTAGCTTTGTAGAGATCTAGTAGAGTGCTGTATGGGTAAATGAATGGTAAATGGACTGTACATATATAGCGCCTTTCTAATGAGGCACAGATTGTTGTGTAAAGCACTTTTGAGTATCTTGCAATAAGATAGAAAGGTGCTACATAAGTACAGTCCATTTACCATTATTTAACCAGGCAAATCCCACTGAG